GACAAAGTTGACAATTTACTAAATATAGATTGGTGTTAGATTGAGAATCTTGTATTTATGTCAATCTCTGTATACCATAGATATATATAGTTAATAGATCTAGATACTTTTTATAAATAATTAATGGGACTAACACATGGGGCAAGTGTCTATAGTAGATACAATAAAATATCATATAACAATATTAAGGGATTAATATGTGATGGTTCTTGTTAAGCTAGTGCAAACCAAAGTAAAAGGGACTTAACAAGCCAATGGCTAAGCTGAGGGAAAAAAAAACCATCTCTAGAAATGTAATACCAATTTGCTTGCTTGGAGCTGCAAGCTTGCAATTAAGCACCACTTGAGCTACTCATTGCTTGGCTAAGCTCGCCACTGCCTAAGTTGGCATGTTAGGCACAATAGTAGTGCTCGGGCCACTACAGCAGTTTGGGGTGGCCTAACCACCATTTAAGCTGCTATGTAAGGCACAATAGTGTTGCTAGGGCCTTCTGGCAACTTATGGTGACTGAAATCAGAATCACCTGAACTGTCACACTAGGTGCAATAACACTGCTCAAGTCCCCATGACAGCTCTCACCACTGCCTCAGGTGCTGCACTAGGCATAACAGTGTTGCTTAGCCACCTGTGGCAGCTCTAACTTCCCAGCTCACCATTGCTCAATCTGCTGTGCTGGGCACACTGGTGCTGCTTAGGCACATGCAGCAGCACAGGCATAACTAGCTTATCACTTCTCAAGCCTGTCAAGTGTTCAGGCCTCTGAGGCAGCTCAGGGCTCAAGTGGTGCTGTTGTGCCTGACACATTAGTCCTTACTCCCAGGTATAGCTGCTTTTGCACGTGCTCAATCCTTGTGCTCATCTACTCAACCCTAGAAACCCTAAAAAAGCCTAAACACCAAATTCAAAATCTAATCTGTGCCAAACAAGTATTGAGTTTAAATCTTATGAATAGAGGTTTGAGATTTGATTCACATAGCATTAAATACAAAGATATCACAAATATGTGAAACAACATAGAATCTATTATCTATATTATGATTGGTGTACTAGAGTAATAATATATTTTTCTCTATAGCATATTATATTTTTCGTAACCACTAATACATACACTAATTTTATTTATAAAAATAATTAAACTTAGTAAACAATTTAAATTTATATGTTAGATATATTTCTAATTTTAAGGTTTATTTGTCCAGATTAACTTCTTAAGGCCATTGGAATATGATTTTACAGTTAAATATCCATTATTTTCAATTGTTAAAACAGCAAATAATAAACAATTTTGACAAAAAACATTAGTTTTCCATATAATATTACTTTTATCATCAATGATAAGTAAATGTCCATCAATTTGAAGATGAAGATAGCAAAATGTATTATATCTAAAAGACATAGTAGACCATATTGTCTCATAATTTGTAAGATCTTGAACTATCAAATTACAATTTTTTAATTTTACTTTAAATTTATTATTTAAAGATATTAAAGCATTATTATTTATTATATGTGTACCAAGAAATTTTAAAGGGCCACTTATTAATTGTGTGCGATATGGCCAACATTGCAAGTTGTCATATTCAAGATTATTATGTATATTTCCAGGTTGATTATTATCATCAGGTAAGCCTTTAGGATAATCAACATGAGGATATATTTCTTTAGGACGTCTTGTAGAGTTTCCAAATGCATAATAATCTATTGAAAAATATCTATATACTACCATCATACTTTTTGGAGCATGTTGAAAAACATGATATTCTAGAAGTCTTAACATTTGAGTAAAGATAATACGAACAATTGAAGAATGAAATTGAGTGTTAGGTGGAAGTGGATTACAATTTAAATAATTTCTTATATCAAATGGACTAATATAAACCCTTATTGCTACGTCTTGTTGACCAACAGAAACTTCATATCCATAATAAATTCCCTGACCGATTAGTAATAACTCATTTGGATTTATATTTTCAATTAAATACATAAGCCTTCTTATTAATGTAAACATATCTTGATTAGAAAAATGGTCATATTCTGTGCTCCATCTTGCTTGAGGTGGCTGAGCATTACAAACTAAATTAACTGTTAATAACCATATAAACATATAAAGCATTCTATTTATATTTTAGAAATTTATTTTTTAAATTGCTTTGTGTGTATGTAAATACATGATTTACATATAACTAAAGAAAAGATCATTATACATAAAAGCCATTTTAAAGAAACTATTATAAAGTTTACTTTTATAAAGTTATTAAAATAAAATTTCTTTAATTTTTACAACTTTATTAAAAGGACCTTTCTGAAGATATTTTTATATACCTCTCAAAGCAAGATTTTTATAAGGTTCTTCAAATTAAAAAACCTGTATGCATATGGTTTGTTTTTTTTTTAATCACAGAAAACTCGTATAAGAAACCTCATGTTTACAAAACCTTTTTCTTAGAAATATTAAATAACTAACATTAAGAAATAATTAAACACACTTGAATAATACCGTTATAGTAAGAATGCCAAGTTGAAGTTAATAAATACTTAGAATTGTGGTTTACATGCACCCTAAAATGGGGATATTACAGGGCGACTATGGGTTCCAGCTCGCCAGCGATCTGGAGGCGATCGCGGCGTGGAGGCCATGGCTGGGCGATCACCTCTACTCGGAGCTGCGAATGCACCTTGCCACGCCCTCCGCCTGGTCGGCATTCATGAGAGGAAATGATGGCAGCAACAGCGGCCGCTTGCGCTTACAGCTCCGGGTGCGTGCTCTTCTCTATGACAAGGCGCTCGAGCTCCAGGACACAAGGATCTCTTCCCCCGCCAGTAAGTTTTATGTCACGGATTGATTGATTGATTGATCGAAGAGTTTGGAGGGAATAAGCTGTGTTGATTCCTATCAGGCCTACAGCTCCAGCCCGACAGCGTCTATTTCACTCTGGAACACGACGCCTCGGACTGGGTCAGACTCCAGGCAGAGAGAGCTCCTACCATGGCTGCTCTTCAAGCCAAGGTATTTTAGCTAGAGAAACAAGTCTTCGTTTTAAGTTTTCCCTTCTTTGTTTTGAAGTATGGATTGGACAACCGCGATACTTTGAGGTGGGGATTGTTTCAAGGCTTGCTAGACTTTCTTTTCGTTCTCTTGCAGCCCGCATTTTGCAGTAGGGGATGGGAAGCAAAAATCACAGCTGCGAAAGACTGCCATCAATACCATCAAACAGGTTTGTGACATTCTTGGTGGTTCCGTTTTAAGGCAGAGTGTCTTTGGTTTAGGGACGAAGCAGTCCTGGTTTTCGTGGCGTTGAGCAGTCGAAGCTTTTTTCCAGAAGCTCTCGCGAGCTCGATGCAGAAAAGAGCAGCATGGACTGTGACTTGTGGTACGACCAATGGTTTGACAAACACCTTAGCGAGAGGATGAACCGTCTCGCAAGGCGTCTGGCTCAGCAGAAACTTCCGTTTTCCGATCAGGAGGCACTGAAACGGACACCCGAAGGCATGGCAGCCTTTCTCAAGCTAACCACAAAGGCTCTAAAGAGACAACACCTTACAGCCGGGAACGATATATCGTTGGGCCACGAAAGGGAACAGGAATCTTTCGATGGCGAGCTCAGCATTCTTCCGGAGTTGACGTCCATTTCGAGCTGTGTTCCGGAGAATCCTTGCCCCGCCACATGCGTGAGTGGGGCTTGCAGTCTTCAGCAGTCCCTGGAATCTGCTGCCGGTGGCGAGGCATCCGTTTTATCAGGACTTTCCAGCCAGCTTGTGAGATCAGGGACATCAGCGAGGAAAGCTAAAGTGTCGTCAGCAGATGCAGAGATTCTAAGCCAGCAGACGATTGCGAGAATTCTCGAGACTCATGGTTTCGAAGGCGTAAGACAGGTACCGATGGAGATATTCTCGGAGGTGATGGCTTTGCACATTCGAAAGCTAGGGAGCTGGCTGAGAATGCTGATTGATAGTTACCAGAAGCATCTATCCACGGACGAGCTGCTCAGGATGTTCATTCAGAGGCTTGTTTCTCATCCTGCCCGGGAAAACTCCGATGTTGGAGGAAGGTAAACTGCTTGGCCGTGCTAAAGATGACGTTTTCATATCTCTTTTTTTTGCTCTCTGGCAGTCTCCGAGATCTGGCAGAATACTTGAAGAACGAAAAAAGTCGTACTTCTCAAGTAGTACAAATAGATGCGCAAATGAGTAACCAGTTGCATCAGTTACACGTAAGTCTGGTGTTTTTTTTTTTTTTCTGCCACGGAATGACTATTCTTGCCGATTTCCAAAAACCAGGCACAGTCGCGGAATCTGGCAGCATTTCAGCGCAGCATGTACCTAGAGAACCCTTTAAAAAAGAAACAATTGCCGTCTCTTCGAGCAAAACGGCAGGCCGAGGATCATACGACTTTCGAAATGAAACCGTATGTGTCAACACTGACAAAGCAGCCATGGATTCCTCAGCAAATACAAGCTTCAAGTCACTCTCAGGTTATGCAGCATTTACAGCAGCAAGCATCGTCTTTACACCTCCCTGGTGTTCAAGCGTACGTTTGAATATTACTTTCTCGGCCGCTGACATGCGTTGCTTGCACCCTCAGGTCGCCCAAGCTTTCAAACGCAAGAATTGACGGACTTCATGAGATTTTGGGGTCTGACGTAATGAAGCAAGAGAATCCGGATGATCTGGACGGAACACTTGGCTCCCCAAACAAGAGAAAACGCAAGGTTTAGCCTGGTCGATACGCGATCACTGTACTGACTTTGTCAAGTTACAGGAATACTGAAACATCGCTCTTTGGTGTGCTGGCCATTCTGGGCCAGAGCATGGTGTTGTTGTCGTCGATTGGCTTTGAAACGGTGCTATCGTTCTCTTGGAATTATGAGCAGCCTTTTTTCCGCATTTAGGGGACCACCTTTCGTTTGGCATGGCACCATATTCACTTGACTATGATGCACGAATTCTCCATCGCTATCCCCGAGGGCGAGAGGTCATCTCTGCCTACTGACAGGTACATGTATGTACTGCGTTTCTTCTTCTATTGATTCATTCATATACAACTTCAGTCTAACACAGAGTTTTTTTTTTTTTTTTTGTTCTGTCTTTTCCTATTTGAATCTAGAGTTGCTCGAGATAGCGGTCTGGTGACCGATGCCAACTGAGCACCTTACTTGATGGACGTCTGAATTCGGTACCGGCAGCACACATTCCTCCGAGCCAAGAGATGACCCTCGAACCGCCATTTGTCACAACCCGAGCCGGCGTATTACTTCCAGCACGATCGTGTTCATCGTCGAGTTTCATACTAGACCGCCACTTTTCGGCCATGTACTCGAGAACCGCTTCAAGGCTGTGATCGACCACCTCCGGAGGGGGCACAACGAGAGGATTCTGGTCCAACTTGAGCTTTCTCAGCTTCTGCAGCCGTCCGAAAGAAAGTGGCAGCTCCCGGATCTGGTTGTAACTCAGATCGAGCTCCCTGAGGCAGTAGAGATCTCCGAGCGAGCTGGGAACAGTGGTCAGACTGTTGAAGTTACTGCTGCAATTGAGGACTTCCAAGTCCTTGAGGTTGCCAATGGAGGAAGGCAGGGCGACGAGCTTGTTGAAGTGGATCTCGAGAACTTTGAGGGACGTCAGGTCGCCAATGGACGCCGGAAGCATGCTGAGCTTGTTGAGCTGGAGGGACAGCTTCTCGAGGTTGAAGAGCGAGCCGATGTTGGGGGGAAGCTTTTCCAGCTGGTTGAAGCTCGCGTTGAGCTCCACCAGAGAACTGCAACAGAGCAAAACCACTGCCGTGAGACGCGGCACAGGCAAAACAGAGAAGAACCAAGGTGACTTACAAGCACAGTGCGAGCGAATCCGGCAAGCTCTTGAGAGCGTTTCCGGAAACGTTGAGAAACCGAAGCTTTTTGAGCGAGCGGATGGAATCCGGCAGGGTGGTGAGCTGGTTGGAGCTGACATCGAGCGTTATCAGATTGCTGAGCTGAGACAACGAATCGGGAAGAGCCTGGAGAGGAGGATCCGAGAGAAAGAAAAAGTCAAACATCTATGAACACGAAACAACGATCTATGATCTATGGAACCGAAGCTACCTCGAGGCAATTGGTGGAGAGATTGATCAGCGACAGCGACTTGATCCGTCCCAGTGACTCGGGCAGGCATGCAACACGGCGAGACGAAAGAAGCAGCTTATCAGATCGAGTATCGAAAGCGTCCTGGAGGACTCTGGCAACATCATCGTCGATGTCGTCAGTGATATACAGCGGCCTCATGGGGCTCCGGATCGGGGATCCAGGCACGGCAAATGGTGACGACTCGGCGCTCTTGAGCATCCCCGAGTAGAGCCTGTGGAGCTCGTCCAGCTGAATTGTCGACTTGTAAGGCAGCTTCTCCTCCTCGGCGGCTTCGATGGCTTCGTTCTCCTTCTCGGCCTGGACAACGAAGCGAAAGAGAAAAGACGAAAAGCCAAAGCTTTAGAAGCTGGAAGATCCAAGACAAGAGAAAGAGCAGCAGCACAGACCATGATCGATTCCCATTCCTCCGCGGTGGTGCTCGGCGGCTTGGCTTCTCGCGACAGTGCCTCGAGCTGCTGAGCCAAGTAGTCATCGATCACGTCCAGTGCCTCGCGCGCATCCTCGACGAGCTTGGAGTCGGGACGAGGGCCGAGAGCGTTGAGCATCGCTCTCGTCTCGGCAATTCGCACCACATTCGCCATGATATTTCAGAGGAGCCACTGCCAGAGGCGGAGGAAGACAAATGAGAAAAGGGGAGCTTTTAGCTAATATTTCTGGCGGAGCGTGTTTTTATATTCCCAGAGGAGGCCCATGGCATTTTTCTCACCCGTACGCGTTCGTCCGGAAAGGTAGTGGATCATTTCTTTTCGTTTCTTTCCTTAACTCATGTGCTTCTTTTGTAGCTTGCGAGCGAGCTAAACAAGTACTAAAACTCAAGTTGGATTTGCTGAAGAGATGAGGATGAAGAGGCGGCAAGGAGTTGACCTCAAGCCACGCAGCCGCAGTAAACAAAGTTTTTGTAGCCCACCGCAGGCCATTTGACTAGGCGCGCTGGACAAGCCTATCATGCTTCGGCGAAGATGCAGTGGTGATGTACCGGCAAGTACTCCTCTTTTTTTTCGAAAGTACTCGTCTTGGCATCTACCTTTCGGGCTAGAATTGTGGAGAGGTGACGAGAGCAACAAAAACAGGAAGGACTTGCTTGCATGATCATCAGCTTCCATGGCGACCTTGTCTCGGTGTAGAGAGCTGACTTTCTGCGGGAATCGAGTTGGGATCTAGGCTCGAAAGTCGTGCTCCGCTGCTTGGGAGGTGGGCTTTTTAATTTTATTCTTCGTTTCGTTGGTTTTGTCTAAGCTGGATCGAACAGGATTTGCATGTGAGAATCTTCTCAAGACTTTGTGGCATAAGGGCTTGCAAGTTGCGTTGCGGGGATGGTTTTTGCTGCAAGGAAAGTGGGCTGGAAGTTTATTTGATGTCTTTTTCCAAGTCCGGGGGCGAGAAAACTGGGGGAATCTCGTTGTCTCTGACTGGTACAGTTTTGAAGCTGATCGCGGAGGTAAGTCGTTGATTTGCCAGAGATTTTCGGGTTTGTGTTTCACGCTGTTTTCTTTATCATGTTTATAATTCTATGTAATAAGTTCTCCAAGTAAGATGTGAAATCCTTGTGTTGTCATGCAGGTACTCCAATCTTTTGACAGCTCCTATAGTGTTATTTTCATCTTTGCATTCCAGCCCAACGGTTCCTTGTCAAAGCTTACTACGTTCTGTATGTTACAGGAAACAATACAAACCGTGGCTCCCAAGCTGCTTTATGTACTTGTGGAATTTGATCGACATCAGAACAATAGATTATCCAAACTCCCTTTGTTTGAATGTCCATTTCTTTCCAGCTGCTTCACTGCATGATCTGCAACCAAGGAGAGAAACGTGTTAGATAAAACCAAACAAGAAAGAGAAAGCTGGTTTTGCAAGCGAGCAAGAACACCAAACCTGGCCACTATATACTGCCAAAGCCACATAAGCTGGAGCCATTTTTCTTCACGAGAGGACCTCTCGAGGGCCAAGCAGGCTGCCCGGAAGGAACCGCACGACGGTTGTAGAGGTGCTCTTGAGCTGGACAGTCGGGAGCCGGGCAGTCAAAAGAAAACGCCACTTCAGCTTGTCTCGGTTTGAGCAGCTCGATCTCGACGCTAGAGATATCCTCCCTTAGCGATTGCAAGTCCCCTTGTATCTGAGAAACAAGACGTTTAGAATCTGTGGTCGCTGTCATCCCAAATCACTCACGACAACTGGCCTCAGAAGTTCTTCCATCTATTGCTCTGCCTGGATCTTCGCAAGAACTCGCGAAGAACCTCCATGTTCATCTCGCCCTCCTTGTGCTTGGCTTTTCGCTTCTTATCGCTCAAGAAGCAAAGAATCGAGTGGAACTTCGAACCCCTATAAAAAAGAAGAATGGACATCGCGATCGGAAGGAACATCGAACAGAATGCCAGTGCCAAAATTTTCCAAGATTATTCTATGAATATTCATTACACCCTTAAATTTTCTTACTTTGTTTATAAAACCTTTAAAGGAGTGTTGAATAAAGGAAGATACTAAAAGTATAAAGATGTTATCTATAAAAAACCAAAGAATGCAAGGAAACATAATGAATATTACCAACATAAAGCTTTAGACTAAAAGGCTAACTTTATAAAATAAATCTTTTTAGTTTATAAAATCTTTTAGTTATTGATATTTTATTCTCAGATTGGATTAAATAGTCACTTTACTAATCAATCGTTAAGACTTGGGATTTTTATATTATAATCTCAAGTAAATGAAGTATTTCAGCAAGCAATGTATCATCATGTTGATTGTATACTAAGATATTTTAATTCAACGTCAACAAACATGATTATTATGGTTACATGTAAGATGGGAGCTTCAATATTATGGATCTAAAGAGCAAACTTATGAAACTTTAATTTTATAGTTAAATAACTATAACAAATTACACCCATTTTCTATTCTAGGGCATCTATGTAACTAACAATTTAAATATGCCAAAATGCATTGTGTTTTTGAAATGTCTTATAGCCAAGTATTCGTTGGGCTGAGTTGGATGTCATGCTTTTAAAACTTTAATTTTATTTAGCCATTATTATAATCCATCATGACACTAGAATCAAGCTAGGGCTAGAACATCAAATTAGAGATAGAATGGGGGACTAGGAAGAAGATTCCAGATTGCTTGTGGAAGTTGTGCAGTTGTTCTTGGCAGTGATGATGATCCAAAAGGATTTGCATGTGGCATATTTCAGGTTGTCACTTCCAGGCTAAGATCTCTTGTTGCAACTCAGTGTCACTCTGCAATAGGTGGTAGATTTCAAGTCCCAAACTTAGCTCTTTCTTCCCCTTCTGCACTATTTTAGATGTATATTAAAAAATGCTAAGACAAAAGGGTGGATGCAATAAGATATAGGGTGGTGTGCAAATATTGATGCCCTCCATCCAGATTTGGGAAGTAAATATTGCTGGAAGGAACCAGCCACTGTTGAGGTAGCTATCTTGGAAGGTAAAACACAAGAGCACAAATACTTAATTCCTCTTCATTTGCTTCAGCTTTCTTGGTTCATCACAATTCTTTGCCATGGTTGGAGACTTGCATGCAAGATCACCAAGATGGCGACTATTCTTACAACGATAACTAAAGGATAGAAATAGTTGTTGGCAAGGTTGGCAACTACATAAATTGGACATGAACACGTCCCAGGGAATTTGGTGGTCATGAAAATATTACTTGACCCCTCTATGGCAAGACCTTTTTTGTGGTTGAGAAGGTAAAAATTGTGTTCTTCACAATAACTAATAAAGATATAGACTCCATTGCCCCTATGGTTGGGTAATGTTACTATGTAATATTATTTATCTGTTTAAGGATGATCTCCACTCAAGAACTTTGAAGCCTTGGCAAAACTTTTATAAAATCCATTGGTGAACTTTAAGTTTTTTTAAATAATGTCCTTTTGCAATAAAGAATACTTTCCAATTAGACTGTAGCCAAGTTTGAGGTAATGATAGTCTTTTAGAGCCAACAACTTTATATACTTTGTTCATTGTTCCACTATGACCTAAAGTTCATAAAAAAAACTATTAAGCACTAATCCTTTAATATCACTAATAACTCAGACACTCTTATTAATATGCCTTATATGTTGGTCAAATGCCTAGATTTGTTAATTAGGCATATCTATAGAATGTAAAAATTGTCCTCAATACAGTGGTATTGCTCTTAGCCCAAATTTACAGTCTAACACAATTCTATATTTAATATATTTTTTATTTTGTCCCAAATACTATCTTCTAGGACTAAGGTGATGTAATGTATGTAGTTTTCACCCATTACCTTATGGTGATTTACTATAGAAAAACCCTTAAACCCTTGAATATGTGGACCAAGAGCAACAAAGTGAAACTTAAACCCTTGGACACATGGGCTAAGAGTAGTGGAGTAAAACTTAAGTTTTAAAGCCTTGAGCCATTGAACAAAGAGACAAAACCAAACTCTTGAGCATATAGTCAAGGAGTGAAAAAATTGAAGCATGGAACAACTCTTGAGCACATAGTTCAATAAGCAAAAGGATAAAAGTAAGGAGTGATATAAAAACAATTTTAGAGCATTTAGCATCCCAATGCTAAAATTACCTTATAAAACAAAGCCAAATGGAGTTTGACATTATTTCAACATACTAATGGCCTAATGTGAGGATATGAGTACTCCATTAACTAGCATAGTATAAAACTTGGGCTTACATTCAAGCCAAATGTAAAACAAGAATAAATACCTAGGTAAAAACTAGACTATGTCTTAAGTTGGTCAGTCATGTCCTACTACCCACTATCCTAATAGAGCCTCCACCAATAGAGGGACAATGGGAAAGATAGTATTGATATTCTACTTATAGAGCATTATGAGTGGGATGACCTTTAGATTGTGATTTGTGTGGCAAGTAGCCTATTGTGATTTTATCTAGGTGAGTTCATGGTAGAAAGAAGTGAGTAATATATCCATACTCAACTGGAAAATACACTTCAAACCTCCCAAGTAAAGATATATATTTTTATAGGTCTTTTATATGAGCATTCTTATAGTAATTTTATTTTATCCTATATTTTCTTTTATATGCAATGAAATTCCTCAAACTTGCCTATACTGTGAAAACTTTTATGGGTATCATCACTAATTTCTTTTGCTTGTGGAGCTCCCATTTTTTTGCATTAGCTATGATTGGGTTAGTTTTTATATCATTTACATGGCGGAGGTGGTGAGTTGTCCTTAACAAAATTAAGACCACCTTATTATGCTTAGACTCAACTGGTTTGTGCTTGATGACCATGGTTGTGCAGGACTTGGACTCACATATTGAGTTCTACCTTGTGTTTGATGGTTGTGGCTGTGCAGGACTTGGACTCACCTGTGAACTCTATGTTGGCTGTACTTTGCTTGAGATTATATTTTAAAAAAGTGAAGCTATGTAACAAAGTATGGTTTTGGATATTTAATGGATCCAGCTTATGCAAACTCTAGAGATAAGAAACATTACAACCTTGATTATAAGAAAATCATAGTATAGAAAAGTATTTATATACTTGATATTCTAAGATATGACCTAAAATGTTTCTAAGTTAATATCAAAATTTGAGGCCTTCCTTATGTGCTTTTCTTTTGCTTCCACTAGATTGTATTAAAATGTTGCAAAAGGCTCCAGCTATGGAATTGTTGAGTACAGCTTTTTTTGGCTATACTTGCATTCTTGCCCCTACTAGCAAAATAATGACAAAAAAACAGAGACAAAAATGTAGAGAAGCGAAAAAGATAAGAAGAATGGGAAAAGAATAGAAGAGAACTCAACAAAAGTGTGAATAAGAATAAACATATATCATTCTTTTAACTCTACTTTGCACAAACAGTTATAGGTGGGAGAAAAGATGATTAATTCAATGCAAATGCATACAACAGTGAGTGGGTTGTTTTCCAGCACGTCTAAGTGTTACTTATATATTACATGATTTTATAGCTATTTTTAATTACTTATTATTTGTTTATGATAAGCGTTGCATAGGTCGGGTTTTTCTTTTTTAAGTCTAGGGGTAACTCCATTTTACTTATGCTTCCTTCTTTTACTCTATTTAGGAAGATACACAAGATAAAATATTTGTCTCTTCATCACTCCATGACAAAGCTACTACCTATCCTCAGACACTTGAATTCTCCAAAACTTGCTATAGGTTGTTGAGTTTGGTCTTTATAGTGATAAGCTCGATGCTTTGGCATAGATCGTCGAGTTCCTGACACGATTTGATTTTCCTGGTCGAGCATTATGATATGCTGGTCCTAGTAGTTGATATGCTCTATATCTGTGGATGTGAAAGCTGGGATCATACTCTTGATTTTTGGATTATATGGCATTAATAATTATGCTCGCCCATGATCAATCACTCTTAGGAGTAAGCACCTAACTTCCCAATTAATTTTGAAATGGGGATTATTTTCCTCTAGAGGCTAAATGTTTATGACATTTATTATACGAAAGTCCTAGAAATTTCTTAAGAAATAAACATTATTTTTCACAGCATATTTATTTTGCTCAGATGTGGTCCATTTTAAGA